CTTCTACTAAAATCAGCCACAAATGCACAGAGCAGAGTTGGATCATCCGCCTTCTCTATTTTTCCTGGTCAACATTGTCACTGGGACTAAATGTGATAGAAAAACCAACATTTTAAATTGACACCAAAACAGGAATAGAAGGTAAACCTTCCAATGCGGATATGTGTTCCGGTGAAAACTGTCTAAGACGGGATTTAACCATTCCCTACTCTATCCAAAATTTAATTTTAAAAGGTTTTGTCTTCATGTGTATTTTACCTTTACAAAGGAATGGAATTTGTTTGGGGTGGATTGTCCCTTTAAATATCATGTATGTACAGCAATAGTCTTTTATGGCTGCTGTAGGCAACCAAAGTTCAATGACATAAAGAGTTCTGTTTTTAATGTATCACGTATCATACTGTTTTATTCTGTTGTAGGCATATGGAGATCATTATATACTTAAAGACTCATGTTTCTCATTCTATGATGAACACAAAAAATTATTTATTATATCAAAACAAGCATGGGCTGTTATTTCCTAAATGAAGTAGAAAACTTACTTAAGTCAGACTTGGCACAAAACCGGCCAATAGAGCATCTGGAAAGGGCTGCTACGCATGAATAAAAAGTTGATTTATGTAAAAGAGCATTTAATAACAAGTCCAATTAATTGCTTTCGGCACCAAGAACCCAGTGTTGCTTGTTTTTGGTTCAGGCACTGAATGGTTTCGGCGCCAGTCCTAGAGCAGAATGGCTTGATAATTTTGGTGATGACAAGGTAAGTATGAATTCTATGGGGTTAAGAGGTTTAGAGGTTAGGTCAATGTTAGGGTAAGGATTATGGTTAAGGTTAGAGTTAGAGTTAGGCTTTGGGGGGTGTTAAAGAGATTCGGTCACTAATATAATTCTGTCAGGATTGTCCCTTGTAACCACTCCCACTGCCTATGCCACCGAATGCCACTGTAATGAAGTTCCGAGAGTGTTGATTTCCTGGTCCCCTGCTGCGCCCAGAGGTTCAATCTGCCAGCCCCATTGGTCACTACTCTGTCCTGTAGTGATGAAGGAACTGGTGGAAAGAAACACTGCATGTGGTGGGGGACTAGGTATTCGACACACCCGTTAAGTGTTAGATACTTGCTGTAGCCGGATACCGTCAACACAACAGAGTTTTACAATGTGTGTGTGGGTATATATATATATTTAT